GCCTTTCTCTAAGGACCTTAAAGTACCTCTCAGACATTAGCTCATCTGTTCTTCTAACACAATTGCCTCATGAGATAGGTGCTAATTATTCCCGGTACAAAGAGCAAACAACTAAGACTTACCAGAAAATAGTGCTTCCCCTGCACTCCCAAGGTAACACATCTGTTGAACAGCATTGAGTCAACTGAAAGTCACCTAATTCCTGGATTACCTGCTCTACATAGGTCTGAGAGTCCACGGGGTGATGAGTTCTTTACTGACGGCATTTCCCCCGCGTTTATTAACCCCACTAATACTGAACATTGGTTGAGTGTTCACTCATTTACTAAACATGGCTCTCTTCTTACACTGTGACTGATGGAGAAAAACCACATTTTTTGGTGAAAAGCAACATTTCACCATTCAGCGTAGAGAGTGTAAAACCGTGCAGAATAAATAGCCTTGTCTAACGGCTAAGTAACTGCAGAAAGTAAAAGGAGTAATTTAGACTTTGATTGGGATTATTTCAGCAGACTATCCTGCCAGATGTGCTCCACATCATTTAGAGCATTAGAAAGTGGCAAGCTGAATTGTATAAATATATACAAATGTATTTAGAGTTTTAATATTCACTCAAATGACTTGATATAAACTACCTCCACGTATCTGGAGTTGAGGCCCTGAACCTCAACTTCCTCACCTTTTCACAGTACTTGTCACACAACATATGCTTAGCAGTTGAGGGAAATGATTCTCTTTCCTCACTCAGAAAAGGAAGAGTGATAATATATATCAACCTCAGAGGGGTAAATTTAATTCAAAAGTGGTTACACATAGAAGGTAGACTTGCTAAATAAAAATATAAAAATTAAAGCAGATTGTGATATTAAAATGAGAACTGGCCACCAACAAAATTGAAACAATTTACTAGTCAAGTCTCAACACATTGAAGTCACATTAAAAAAATCTCCTGACTTAGAGGTGGCATTACAGTTGTCTTCCGCAGTTGCCTTTGCTCTCCTGTCTCCATATGTTACTCGAATGCATTGGTTTTTTTCTTCTTTTCTTTCTTTTATTTTTTCTTTTCTTCTTCTCTTACCTTTTATCTTTTCCTGTTTAAGACAGTCCTTTACACAGAGACAGTACACTAAAACCAGCATTTTTTAAAGGCCAAAAATGACTTTTGAATAAATTACCGCTGTTTAGAATTAGGAATACTTTTTAAGCCAGGCATGGTGGCTCAAGCCTCTAATCCCAGCCCTTTGACCTGAGTTCAGGAATTCAAGACCAGCTGGGGCAACATAGTGAGACCTCATCTCTATAAAAATAATAATAATAACTTTTTAAAAATTACGTAATGGCACACAACTGTAGTCCCAGCTAATAGGGAGGTTGACATGGAAGGATCACTTGAGTGAGCCGTGATTGTACCACTGCACTCCAGCCTGGGTGACAGAGGAAGACCCTGTTTAAGAAAAGAAAAAAGAAATATTTTTAAAGACAATTGAATGACAAATGAGATTAACTGGACTTTTCCTGAGTAAACCTATTCTTAAATGATTTCTGTGTTGTTTTGTGAAGCCTTGGAAGTAGAAATAAATTGGTGTAGGCGCCAGCAGTATCTGGGGCATGATACAGAGAGCTGTGACAGTGGAGCTTAGATTTGCCTCTCCCAAGTGGATTGGCAGTCAGATTTAGACTTCCTAAATTCTTCCCCTTTACAACTTGAAATTAAGATGGATGGTGATGGAATAATATTTTTTCGATTGTGGTATCTGAAGTCCCTTTCTGCTCTGTCTGTGATTCCATTTTTTTTCTTATTTACTTGCATTTATTAAAAGTTCTGTATTGTAGCCTGTGTCCAATTTCCACTGGGCCCTAGTGAGTGCATTAAATGTTCCTGAGCATGTTAAACTGGTGTATTTGCATTTTATTGCCAGGAGGTTGTGCTATAAACAATGGGGTTGAGACACCAGCATGAGCCGGGGGATGAAATTTTATTTTAAAATCTGAAATGCTGTGTAAGCATTTAAGGTATGAATTGGTAATTGTTTCACAACAGCTTCCATTAGATATGGTTTATTTGTAGTCCATCCTCTTTTCAAGGATCCAGGGGAGTGTGTTAACACACTGAAGCGCACCGCATATTATTTACATTTTAAACCAGTGTTAAGGGGAAATGACCATAACTTTTAAGACTTCTAAATATTGGAATGGACTTTATGCCTCTGTCCCTGGAGAAAACAGTTTTAATCTTTCATTTGAAAATAAGAAACCTTCCCGCTGTGATTAAGGATTTGAATAATTCTGAAACAGAGAAATACTGTTAGAAAAGGAAAAGTCTGGTTCTAAGATTGAGAACTCGCTTTCCACCCCTAATGAATTCAGTAAAATACAAACTTTTAAAAATCATCTGTCTAATTTGAGATTCGAGATCATCAAATTCTGTCTAAATATTTTGTTTTAACTTCTAAGCTCATTATGGTCTCTTTGTGTTAACTTGTATTAAAATCTGTCAGCTATGACTGGTCTCATAAGCACAGTCAGCGGACCAGAATAAGTTAATTATTTACTTGTGTCACTAGTGCTCTTCATCTAATGAAATGCACAGCTGTGTTAGATCTGCAGTTGGATGTGTAGCTTCCATTGTTCCACAAGTCAGCAGAGGGTAGAAGCCGCAATGATGGAGAGCCCTCAGTTCTTTCTGCTGTTCTGGCTTTCTGTGTCGATTTCATGGATCTTTTATCATTCACTTTCACACAAAACAAACAACACAGGGCTGTCTGCTATGGGAACCATCTTGGCATATAAAAGGGTTTTCAGGGCCTAAAGTAAATTTTAAGTCAGCTAAGATTTAATTTTTGACTTACAGGTGCCCTTGGTTCAGATATTGCCAAAGCAGTTCCTATAATAGAAGGAAAAAAATCTGAAAGCTACTTACATGTGTTTTTTTAAACAAAATGTCAGAAGAGGGCTGATAAGAAAACAATTTGCCCAGGAGGAAGCTCTGCACTAAATATTATTAATCAGATTTCAAGCAAAGGTATTAGAGACTCACATTTCAGGGGAACGAGCACTTTCTTCATTTTGATAACATAATAAAGTTGAATTTGATTAATTAAATGTGTCAGTTAAAACTGAAAACACAAACCGCAAGTCATCTCTCTTCTTACCCACCTCAGTATAAAAGTACGTCATGCTTCCTTGGTCAGTTTCTGCGCTTCATGCTACTCACTCCCACCTTCTCTTGATGGAGGGTGGACAGGCAGCTTCCTCCTGGGCAGACACCTGCCTCCTCCTGCGAACTGCTGTTTAAGAGGTGCCAAGGTTTCTCTTTGGTTTTGTTTTTTAAGGGTGTAGCCGAACCTTCCATCTCCTCACCAGCCAAAATTACATTCTCACCCGGGCTTGTCCCAGAACTGGCCCCTTTAGGGATTGCCGTTTTTAACATTTCGTTCACTGTTGAACAATAATGTTGTCGGTGCACCTAGATTTACAATTTGATCTCTTTCAAAGTAGATTTCCCAGTAGCCCTAGGGTTTTGTCAGATAATTTCAGTGTGGATAAGATGGATTTTTGGAGGGAAGAAAGAAGGGTCACACACTCGGCTTGATTGAAATTCTAACATGTTGTAGCAGAATTTGAAATAAAGCAAACTAAATGATTGTTTCCATTCTTCATGTAGGAAAGCATATATTCTTTATAATAAACAATACCGTTTTAACCGAAAAGCCAATTTAAACTAACTACATGCTCTGGAATTCAACTCCACAAACTTTTCCATATTGTTGGCAGCTACAAGAAATCAGAATATTAATAATCAGTATTACATAGGCAAATGGTATTCTTTTTCTTTTGACTTTAGATCCTGATGATTATAACAAATCACAAAAAGTTTATTTTAAAATAGTTTGAATAATTACAGAGTCAAATTGAATGAAATATTTGAGAGCAGTTTCTTTGCAATAGAGGCAGATAGTTAATAACTTTACACAGAGAAAAGGAGTTTTTTATCTTGTACTACAAATGTAAAAGCATTTGTTTTCTTAGTCCAATGCCATTGTACACTAATTTTCTGATTCTAAATTATGGAGATTGTAAGTAACAATCTAAATTATATTTCTACTCCTCTTCCCAAGAAAAAGAAATCAGAGGAATAAAAAGCTATTTAGCAACAAAATCTCCTACAGGTTAGAATAATATTAGGGAGTAATAAAGTACAGTTAATTAAAAAGAGAATATTAATAGTGTATAGAGTTGGTCGGTTTTTGTTTTGTTGTTTTCATTCTTAGAATTCCAGTTCTAATTCTAGCCTTTTTTTTTCCAAGAATGATTTGGCATTTAATTTTCTTGTTTAACTTTACAAGTTCAATCAAAGATCACTTTCCTAATGGGCTGTAAGCTATAGGAATTAAAATTCCTTTGGGCAGTTTAGACTCAGCCAGGGGAAGCCCTGGCAAAAATCAGCCAACTAGCCAGAGCGATGCAGCCTATAGGTAGACCTATTAGCATATCAGCCACACACGAGTACTTCCTGTCACTGTTTTTTAAAACCACATTGTAAGTACACCCCTCATCGAATCATTTCTGTGTTTGGGGGTCAGAGAACTTGGATTCCTATAATTTGGGTGCAGAACCCAGCAGATCACAAACTAGCTGATGAGGAGCAAAACTGCTGCTGACTTAAAGCTTCAGGGATAGCCACAGGCCCAGCATCCAGTGAAGCTGCTGCTCTTCAGTCTCTGTGGCATAAGAGGGTGGGCAAGCAGCCCGACAGCACTATTGTGTGCCATGCCAGCAGGGCAGTCCACAGGCTGCAATGCCTTTCGCAAGGAGAGTCGTATTTGAACTGTTTGTCTAGCAGGATTGTTGAAAATTGCTTTTGTTAATCTTGATAGAGACCATGGGGAAAATTTTAGAGCAGTGGAAATAAAGATAGCAGCAGGGAGATCCCAATTAAGTACTGTATTCTTCCTTTCTGCGGATTTGCTGTACGTGGCATAAAATCTTTTCTCCCCCAGGTGTTTGTGGCTTGATCGTCCCCCAGGAAGACATGCCATTTTGTGATTCTGGCATCTGTCCGGACATCATAATGAACCCACACGGCTTCCCATCACGAATGACGGTCAGTTACCTGTAGGTTTTTCAGAGGCACTGCCTTTAAGGAAGAAGCAGGCAGTTAGTATAATTAGAGTGAGTGGAGGGGATGGATGCTGAAGCTGTTTGTTCAGGTAGAGCCCTTTTGCCCCTTGCCAGATAAACAGGCTTCCAGCCCCTGATGATTCTGGGCTACTCTCCTCTACAGAAAGAATGAGGAGCATGTCTATACTTCCTTTTGAGAGTAGAGGCTTCTGAGTGACCCCTTAGCAAAAGAGAACTTGTAATGAACCTAAATGGATCCCCCTTCAGTAATTATTTTTGGTTATCCTGGCTTCACCTCTTACCAGCTGTGTGGCCGTGGAGAAGTTGCTTATTCTCCTTGTACTTCAGTTTCTTCATCTGTAAAATGAAGAAATATAGAACCTATCTCATAGGGGTATTGAGAGTTGTAAAATTAGATCACACATGTCAAGCTTAAATACTGCTGCTATTAATTTATCACTGTTATTAATAGTGATCGTTTCATATCCTTTTGGGGGAAATAAGCAGGAGATGATTAAGCAGAGAGAGTTCTTGTGCCACAGGGAGGTGCTCACTTAATTTGTTCACATTCCACAGGTGGGGAAGCTCATTGAGCTGCTGGCTGGCAAGGCCGGTGTGCTGGACGGCAGATTCCACTACGGCACTGCGTTTGGAGGCAGTAAAGTGAAGGATGTGTGTGAGGACCTCGTTCGCCATGGTTATAACTATTTGGGGAAAGACTATGTTACATCTGGCATCACAGGGTAAGCATGTGATTGAGCCATTTTAAAGAAAAAAAAATGGTTTTACTAGGATAGGCCTTAAGGTATACTCTGTTAAGTATACCTTCAGGCAAGCTTGCACAGCTCTTCTAGGATGGCTTTGAATGTGGCCCGACACAAATTTGTAAACTTTTAAAAATATATTATAAGATTTTTAGGAGAGAGATCCAAGATGGCTGATCACTAGCAACTCGGGATTGTAGCTCCCAGTTAAAACGCAAAGAACGAGAGGACGCCACACCTTCACATGAATTCTCGTTGCTCACGCACCAGGAGATTCCCAGCGGAGGAGCCCCACGGGTCGCCAGTGTGACTCTTGTGACCAGCGAGGCGGTTTTGCCGGCGCCTCAGAGCGTCGGTTCTTGGTGCAGAGTCAGAAAAGCACCATCAATCTTAACGCCGCTGATTTAGTCGGCGCAGTGGGTTGCTCAGATTTCTGCGCTGAGAATCAATAAGTTGGACATCCACTCAGAAACCCAATTACAAAGACGATAATTATAAAGACCACAGATGGATAAATCTACAACGAAGGGAAGAAAACAGTCAAAAAAGGCTGAAAATACCCAAGATCAGAATGCCTCTCTCTCAGCGGGGGATCCCAGTTCCTCATCAGCAACGAAACAAGGCTTGATGGAGAACGAGTGTGTTCCAATTACAGAAGCAGGCTTCAAAATGTGGATAACAAGAAACTTCTGTGAATTAAAAGAACTCGTTCTAACACAATCTAAAGAAACTAAGAACTTTGAACAAAGGTTTGACGAAATGTCAACAAGAATACAAAATTTAGAGAGGAAAATAAGTGAATTGATGGAGCTGAAAAACACAATACGAGAACTACGTGAAGTATGCACAAGTTTTAACAGCCGAATCGATCAAGCAGAAGAAAGGATATCGGAGGTCAAAGACCAACTCAATGAAATAAAACTAGAAGACAAGATTAGAGAAAAAAGGATAAAAAGGAACGAGCAAAGTCTTCAAGAAATATGGGACTATGTGAAAAGACCTAATCTACGCTTGATAGGTGTACCTGAATGTGACGAAGAGAATGAATCCAAGCTGGAAAATACGCTTCAGGATATTATTCAGGAAAATTTTCCCAACTTAGTAAGGCAGGATAATATTCAACTCCAGGTAATACAGAGAACACCACAAAGATATTCCTCAAGAAGAGCAACTCCAAGGCACATAATCGTCAGATTCACCAGGGTTGAAATGAAGGAGAAAATACTAAGGGCAGCCAGAGAGAAAGGTCAGGTTACCCACAAAGGGAAGCCTATCAGACTTACATCAGATCTCTCAGCAGAAACCCTACAAGCCAGAAGAGAGTGGGGACCAATATTCAATATCCTTAAAGAAAAGAACTTTCAACCAAGAATTTCACATCCAGCCAAACTAAGCTTTATAAGTGAAGGAAAAATAAAGTTTTTTGTGAACAAGCAAAAACTCAGGCCTGCTTTACATCACCACCAGGCCTGCTTTACAAGAGCTTCTGAAAGAACCACTATACATAGAAAGGAACAGATAGTATCAGCCTTTCTAAAAAATACCAAAAAGTAAAGAACATCAATATAATGAAGAATTTACATCAACTAATGGGCAAAATAGCCAGCTAATATTAAATGGCAGTATTAAACTCACATATATCATTATTAATTCTAAATTTAAATTTACTAAATTCCCCAATTCAAACACAGACAGGCAATTTGGACAAAAAACTAAAACCCATCGGTATGCTGCATCCAGATCCATCTCACATTCAAGGATACACAAAGACTCCAAACAAGGGATGGAGAAAGATTTACCAACCAAACAGAGAGCAAAAATAAATAAATAAAAAGCAGAAGTTACAATTTTTGCCTCTGATAAAATAGTCTTTAAAGCAACAAAGATCAAAAGAAGCAAAGAAGGACATTATATAATGATAAAAGAATCAATGCAACAACAAGAAGAGCTAAAGATCCTAAATATATACGCACCCAATACAGGAATACCCAGACATACAAGACTTATAAAGAGACTTAGACTCCCACACAATAATAGTGGGAGACTTCAACATTAATATTAGACAGATCAATGAGACAGAAAATTAACAACGATATCCAGGACTTGAACTCAGATCTAGAACAAGTAAACGTAATTAACATTTATAGAACTCTCCACGTTACACAAAATATACACTCTTATCAGTACCACATCATATCAACTTAGAAGTTTAAACGAAATGTTGGTTGGCTCCTTGTTTGTTATTCTCTTCCTTCATTTTCTTTCATGTCTCCATTATTAAGGACAATTATAGGCATACCCATATTTAGACTGCATTCTAGCCCGGGCAACAAAGCAATACCCCCATTCTCTCCCCCTCTTCCTCTTTCTCTTTCTTCCTCTTCTTTATTCTTTTTTTTATTATTCTTTTTTTCTTTCTAAAAAATAAAAAAAAATTTTTTTTAAGATTTTTAATGTGATTTTTTTCTTTTTTCTTTTCTTTTTTTTTTTTTTTTTTTTTTTTTTTAGCTTATCAGCTATCGTTAGTGTTAGCGTGTGGCCCAAGACAGCTCTTCTTCTTCCAGTATGTCCCAGAGAAGCCAAAAGATTGGACACTCCCCCCTTAAGTTGTAAGCGTTAAGGCCTGTATGCCTTAAGCTCAATTTTTTTGAAGAAACTGAATGCATGAAAGTCTAAATTTAGAAAACTAACAATTAAGGAGTGCTGTCCGTACTGGTAAGATTATAATTTAGAAAGTAGAAAAGATTTTTGGGAGGCCAATGTGAATGGATCGCCCAGGAGTTTGAGACTAGCTTGGGCAATATGGTGAGACCTCATCTCAAAAGAAAAAAAAATAGAAAATATTTAATTTACCAATATATGATTTCTACCCTATAGCTATTTTTAAGGAACACATCAATTACATATCATGCCAAGTTTTTCTCTAACCATTGAACTTTCCCTGCATTGATATGATGAGTGTCAGAATAATTAATGCTTTGACAGATAGACTGAGGCCTAACATTTGTTCACTAAAGATGTGCTAAGCACCTACTTAATATGTGCTAAGCACTGAGTATATACCAATAAATGTTGTAGACATGGTCCCAGCCCTATGGATCTGACCATTTAGGTGTGTGGCTAGACGTTAAACAATAACAGACAAAAGGTAACTTCTCATAGGGCCTACTGTGACCATCTAATTTAAAATTAGAACCCCATACTGCCCATTTCCTACTTTATTTTCTCTGTAGCACTCACCATTTTCAAATATACTGCATAATAATACTATCACCTGTCTCCCCAACTAGAACATAACCTCTGTGAGAGCAGGGCTGGTCTCTTTTGTTTAGTGTTCTATTTCCAGGGCATAGCACAGGGCCTGACACACAGCAGGCACTCCATAAACATTTTTTGAAAAAAGAAATGCAGACAAATAAATACAAGTACAAATTGCTCTCAGCAAAATGAGGACAAGAGTGGGTGAGAAAGCCCCTGTGAGGAAGTGGATATGATATTTCAGCTGAGAGATGAAGGGAGAGAAGGATAGGGCCTTCGAACAGTGTTTAATGGAAAGGAAAAGTCAGGTTTAACACCTTGCCAGGGAAAGAGCTTGGTAAGTTCAGGGAATAGGAAGAGGCCAGCCTGGCTGCGGTGCAGTGAAGAGGCAGTGCCGGTGTCCTGAGGTGACAGTGGAGGGGAAGAAGAGTCAGGCGACCAGGCTTGGGAGCTTGTGTTAACCTGTGAGAAACAGATCCCTGTTCACAAGCAATGATCGTGAATGACAAGGTTCTGGAGCTGGAATCACTGTGGTTTTTAAAGGATCAAATTAGTTGCTTAAATTAAGACTCACGTATTTTTATGCCAGATAAAACTCCAGGACCTAGCATTTACAGTGTTCTTCTGGGTTTTGTTTGTTTGTTTGAGATGGAGCTTTGCTTTTGTTGCCCAGGCTGGAGTGCAATGGCACTATCTCAGCTCACTGCAACCTCCACTTCCCAGGGGGTTCAAGCAATTCTCCTGTCTCAGCCTCCCGAGTAGTTAGGACTACAGGCACATGCCACCACACCCGGCTAATTTTTTTATTTTTGTAGAGACAGAGTTTCACCATGTTGGCCAGGATGGTCTCGAACTTCTGACCTCAGATGATCCATCCACCTTGGCCTCCCAAAGTTCCGGGATTACAAGCATGAGTCACCGCGCCCTGAGGTTTTAAACCACTTGAACACTAGTGAAACTCAGCATGGAAACATGTGTGAGAACAGAGCTTGATTTTAGTGCTGCAAATAGACTCTCCAGATGTAATTGAAAATTAAAACCTATATCTGTTAAAAATGTGGAGTGCTTTTAAAAATTGCCTATTAAGACTATAATATGTACAGGGCTGGGAGTTACCTTCCATTTGTTTGAAGGTGGATTCTTCTGCCTGGAAGAGCTGTCTATTGTCTCCCATTTGTTTATTTATAAATTATTTGTTTATATCAGAAAAAAAAAAGACTATAATAATATGGATTTCTTAGGTGTGTCATACTTGAGATGCTGTAGAAAAATCACATTACAGGAAAAGAGTGATGGACCATTTCAGAAATGGTTCAACAAAATAATTGTGCCCGTCTCAGAAAACACAGTTGTCATTGCTAAATTTAACCTTCTCTTCACTTCTCCACCCAGAAATAAGGCACATTTTTGGCCAGATGTTGACCAGAAAGTGCAAAACCATAGGATCAATTTGGTGGGCCTCTTGAACATAATTTGTACTGAAAGAATTGGATGGGTTATATTCTGCTTGCCATAGATAATGGTTAGTCTATACCCGAGTCCACACTGCCTTCCCGCATCCCCCCACCCCACCCCGCCCAGCCATTTATTTTCTTTGCCGTTTATTTCAGTGGCAAAATTTGAGAAGTACTGTTTAGTTGAAAATTCCTGAGGGCATGCAAACACATTATCACCCACCAGCTTTCACCTTTTGTTCATTCTTGAACATAGGTAGGAGGGAAAATTGCATATGACTTTACTCTGTGGTTGATGGAATAGCATTGGGTAACAGAGTTTCATAAATTCTACCATGAGCAACCCTACCATTGAGGAATAGAATCATTCACTGTTAGAGCTGGAGAGAATCTTTTTCTGACCACCTTCCTGTACAACTAAGAACACTCAGCTAGAGAGGTTGTATAATTACTTTACTATGTGACAAAACCGAGACAAGGACAGGGTCTCTTGATATCCTTTCCATTGTGCCTTCTACTCCACTCTGTGTCTTCCAAGAACGAGGTTGTGCTAAAGTTAGCAGAATGGCCTGGTGACCGAAAAAACCTTGGCTCACGTTGCTGAGAGTGTGATCAGGGACACCGAGCAAGGAGGAGCCAAGCTTTTTCTTTGCCTCTCTGCTGTGTTTGTCGTTTCCTTTGCTTTTTCTACTCTTCCATCATGCCATAGCCCAGAATTTACTTGTTTCAAATCTGACCAGTGTTGCAGGGAGAACCCTGGATTTGAACCCCCACTGTACCACTCACCAGCTCTTACCTGACCTTTCGGGCTCTCTGTGTCCATGTCTTCATCTGCAAAATAGGGGTGACAATTCTTCCTCCCCAGATCATTGTATGGATTAAGTAGCACATGGTAGATGCTTCCTTCCCTTTGAAGAAGAAAGTTTGAGGCAGTTAAAAAAAAATTTTAAGGCATCAGTGCTCTGGTTGTTCTTGCTCCAGACTAATGAGAAAAAGGTTTCTTCTGTCAAAGTACATACATATTCACTCTCTTTTTAAACTCTTATTACAGTTTTTCTAAAGATTTATTAAATCAGTTATGTAATAGACACTTACTGAGCACCACTTGTGTGCCAGGCAGGGTCACAGGTGCTGGAGCCACAGTGACAAAGGAGACAAAGTGCTTATCCTTTCAGAGTTCCTTCTTGTGGAGAAGACAGACAATAATCAGAGAGACAGTAAATATACACTGTGGTATCAAAAGGGGCAGGTGCACCAAAGGGTCAGTTTGAGGCAGTGCCAGAGTGACGATGCCAGATGGGAGGAGAACTTCTTTAGATGCGGTGTTCAGGGAGTCTCTCTGTGCAGGTGAGATGTTTGACAGAGCCATCTCAGCACCTGGTGGGAGAGTATTTCAGGCAAAGGAAATGGTAAGTCAGAGTCCCCAAGAGAGGAACAAGCTTGCTACATGTGAGGAGTGAAGAAGAGGCCAGTTGTGCTGGAGTCAAGTGAGTGGAGGGACATGGGAATAGGAAACAGTAAGGTGTACAGGAACTGGATTATGTCTCACCATACAGTCATAATACAGAATTTAGCAATACAGATTCCAAGTATGATTGGAAGCCATTGGTGAGTTCAGAGCAGAAGAATGACCTATTGTGATTTACGTTTTAGAAAGAGTCCCCCTGGCTTGTTACACAAAGAATTGATTGTTGAGGGATCAGAGTGGAAGCAGGGAGATGAATTAGAAGATTATCTCTGGTAGTCCAGGCAGGAAAGGATGGTGGCCTGACCAGGGAGGTCACCCTGAAGGGATCATCCCATACACACTGTTTGCCAACCTGTTTAAATGTCTATTTCTTTGTAAAACCATTTATCTTTGAATATAGCTATCATACTTTTCATATTTTCAGAACTAGTCTTTTCATTTACTACAGACTGAAAATCATTCTTATCCATTCAGTCATAAATGAGTAAGAACCTGCCAGTGTTGGGTCCAAAGGCTGTCTTTTGCTAGGCCAGACTTACTTTCTTAACCCACAACACTTGATCTTTCTTTCAGAGAGCCCTTAGAAGCATACATCTATTTTGGCCCCGTGTACTATCAGAAGCTGAAACACATGGTGCTGGATAAAATGCATGCCCGAGCCCGGGGCCCACGAGCTGTCCTTACCAGGTAAGAGAAAATACTTAACAAAAAGAATTGATGATGATTCAAGTCTACCTTGTATTTTCCAGATATGGCAAAAAGCAGACTCAACAAAGTTTCTGTTTTCTTGAAATGTCAAAATTTGACAAGTTTGGCGTTAAGAAAATCATATATGTATGATTAGCATGAAAAAGTAGCAGCCAATTAAAAATTATTTCACAAGCACAAGAACAAACCCACCACATGTCTTGCCAATGAACTCCTAGCACAACTATTTACTGTGTAAATGTCTGCAAATATGATCCTATTCATAAAGGTTCATATAAGAAGATGTGTACATATATACCCACACACACATTGATATGCCTGCATGTACCCATGTGTACACAGAAGACACATGCATACGTTATTTGGTAACATAAGCCACAATTGTAGTTTTTTAAAACTAATGTTCTGGGAGCACAAGTTATCTCCACTTGCATACTTATTTGAATAAGCTCGAGAAGATTAGAGGCCACGTGTGCCCCATTAACAAGTGTACTGTCAATTTCAAGCACAATGTCTGTGTGTTAATGAATGGATAAATTCGTTGGGAAAGAGAATTAGAGCTACTAAGTTTCACATGTTCTTAGTGCTACTTTCCAGTTGGAGATGCATAGTCTAGGGCAGTGGTTCTTAGCCAGGGATGATTTCACTTCCCAGGGACATCTAACAACATCCTGGAAACATTTTCAGATGTCCCAACTTGGGCTTGGGGAAGTAGCTACTGGCATCTAGGAGGTCGAGGCCAGGGATGCTGCAGGGACAACTCCCCACAACAAAGAGTTACTCAGCTCAGTATGTCAGTTGTGCCAGGGTTAAGGAACCCTGGGCTGGGGGAGGGAACCGAGGCCTTGGAGTCAGATGGACAAGGCTGTGATCTCATCTCCACCTGTTCATACTATCACAAGCCTTGGACAGATTACTGATGACCACAGCTTGAGTGTTTCTCATATTTAAAATGGAGACAGCAGTACCTACTTCACAGGTACTGATGAATGTCAAGAGTGTGAATACAGAATGTGTACAGTACCTATTCACGGGTAATACACAGCAAGCATCCGGTTCCCTACCCACTTTTACTGAGCACTGCCTGGATTTAACAATGAGTAAAGGGGCGAGGATGAAGCAGTTCATGCTTGGGTTTTTTTTTTTTTTTTTTTTTTTTAAAGCCAAGGGAGAGATGTAGATGACTCAATTCCTTGACCATTTCAAACTGAGCACATGCACATGTCTGCTGAAATGATAGACATATGTGTGCTTAAAATTGCAAAGAGGGAAGAGAGGAGATTCTCAAGATAATAATCACCTCAGCAGTGAGACCCTAATTGGGTCAGATGTGTTTCTCCCCTAAATGCTGTCTCCTCTAAACTTCCATTTCAGTTACAACATCCAAAAACTATTTCAGAGTAACGTAAATGTCAAAGCAGTTATTTCCTATATTTTGCTTTGTTGTGTAGAAAAAGTTATTACTTTGGTATTACTTTTGTGTCTGCCATATGAAGACTGCCTCCAGTGCATTTGTCTGTAGTCAGTTATCTCAGCTGGCTAAAATCCAGGTATTGGATTCTGTCCACATGTGGTCTGTCTACCTTTACCTTGTTCAGTGGCCTCAGGTGCAGGGAGCAACTGCCCACGTGTATTTCTACTACAGGTAAAAATGTATAGATGTGCTCAGTTATGAAGTTTCCACTATCATGTGTTTATTTAGACCTGTTTGTAAGTTCTTCATGTGTAGATTTCCCTTCAACAAGTAATCTACAACTTCTTTGATTTCACATTGAAACTTTCAACCACAACGATTTTTTAAAAATCTTAAAATTTCAGTGTGTGTTGGCGTTGGCATACCTTATGCTCACCTTCTTAATTCTTGGGGAGACTGGCAGCAACAACAAAGATTAAAAGATGCCATGGAACACAGCAGACAAGGAGTGCATGGTCACCCCTGCTCAAAGATTACCTTTAAGAAGCCTGCCAGGGAGCTTGCTTTTTTCCACCCCCAAATAATTTGTGTGATCTATACCTACATAGCGTTGCCTAAATTGTTGAGAACCCCCTAATTTTACCTACATCTCTGGGTCCTAGATTCTGAGCCTTTTAAAGTATTCTCAAGCCCAGTATATCCATAAACCACAGGGAATCCATTCAAGGGGCTACAGCTCTGACTGAAACTACTGGAGGATCCAAGTTTCTCCCACAGTCTGCTCTGCTTAGCTTTTCTGCTTTTAAATAATAGAGTACTGAGAGATCTTTGAAAATGCTCAAAGAACTTGTTCCCTGATTTGAAAACTCTGCTATCATATTACTAATGATAGTGATGGTAATAGTAATGCTAGCACTGGTGTTTTCTGTGATTATATATTAATATGTTATTACATCATATGATACTATGTAATTATATATTAATTTCATTTAACCATAACAACCATCAATAACACATCTTTTCTCAGTTGAGGCTCTTTGGGATAGGTATGCTTATGCACTTTTACAACGAGGCTGGGCAGCATGTTCAAAGTCACTGTCCAGTTAGTGATTTGGATCCAGGTGAGCCCTGCTCCAAAGCCTCATGCTCTCTGCCGGGATGTGGTGCTGCCTCATTGTTTGTTTAACAGAATAATAACACACTTGTCTAACAACTTGTTTCAAAGGCAACCCACTGAAGGACGGTCTCGTGATGGTGGCTTGCGTCTTGGGGAAATGGAACGTGACTGTTTAATCGGTTATGGAGCCAGTATGCTTTTGCTAGAGAGACTAATGATTTCAAGTGATGCCTTTGAGGTTGATGTCTGTGGGAAGTGTGGACTTCTCGGGTATTCTGGCTGGTAAGTGAATACCATATGTCTCTCATACCACACTCCTTGCCTCTTAAATCACAGCTCAAGAAATGACCGTGGATCCTACCGGCATGTTCTCTAGTCTCTGTGATCACTAACATACCCTTCCTCATGCGTGTATTCCTGTCATTGGGGATACTCTATGCGCATGTATCATTAGTCTGTATGATGATCTACTTCCTACACAACCAGAGGCTAAGCTCCCAAGGAGTACAAACTTTCTTTTAAGTATTATCTCAGATACTTTTTACAACACTGTTTGCCTGTGAAAGTCCTAGCAGATGTATTGTTGGATGTTAGGATAACAGTGTGTTAAAGAAACTCTTTAAAGAATATTATGTCAAATGCTTTCATTTGCAACTTCAGACCCAAAGACCCAGGGATGCTTCCCTAGCTCTCATAGCAAATTGGTGAGAGCCAAGACCGAGGTCTGGTACCCTGCCCCCTTGTGTGTGCTCTCTCAGCCATGGCAAGCTGCTTCACACTTGTACTGTAGATTCTGTCAGGGCAGAAGCTGGGTCTGTCTCAGCAATTTATTCAGCAAACATTTAGTAGGTGTCTGCTAAGTGCCACACACTGTTCTAGGCCCCAGAAATGCAGCAGTGAACGAGACAGGTGATGGCTGCTCCCAAGGAGCTTATCTTCTAGTTCATTCTCATTCCGTTCTGTCATGTTTACCCTCATTTCTCCAGCCTGGGACCTGGTATATGCTTCATCAAAAAGTACTGGATGAATGATACTCTGCATTTTATTTTTGTTGTTGTTGTTTGGAGACAGGGTCTCACTCTGTTGCCCAGGCTGGAGTGCAGTAGTGCAATCTTGGTTCACTGCAGCCTCAACCTCCCAGGCTCAGGTGATTCTCCCACCTCAGTCCCCCGAGTAGCTGAGACTACAGGCTCACACCACCATGATTGGCTAACTTTTTTATGTTTTATAGAGGCAGGGTTTCACCATGTTACCCAGGCTTGTCTCAAACTCCTGGGCTCAAGTGATCTCTCCCCAAGTGCTGGGATTACAGGCATGAGCCACCATGCCCAGCTAAAAGTGAGTTCTTTACTTTTCAATCAGAGGCAAGGTCCAACAAGATCTAAGGCAGAAGGTGCAGAGCTGCCAAACAGCCTCAGTGCCCCCATCTCGCCCTCACCCACCCTCCCCAGAGTGCCTTTTCTTTTTTTTTTTTTTTTTTTTTTTTTTTGAGACGGAGTTTCGCTCTTGTTACCCAGGCTGGAGTGCAATGGCGCGATCTCGGCTCACCGCAACCTCCGCCTCCTGGGCTCAGGCAATTCTCCTGCCTCAGCCTCCTAAGTAGCTGGGATTACAGGCACGCGCCACCACGCCCAGCTAGTTTTTTGTATTTTTAGTAGAGACGGGGTTTCACCATGTTGACCAGGATGGTCTCGATCTCTTGACCTCGTGATCCACCCGCCTCAGCCTCCCAAAGTGCTGGGATTACAGGCTTGAGCCACCACGCCCGGCTCAGAGTGCCTTTTCTGTAGGGAGGGGCCATTCCCAAGTTATAGTTAGGCCCAAATAGCATTCATTTTTGGGGTTTGAGGAATATGTGGGCCACCTTTTCCCCATTGAGTCCCCACTGTAAAGTCTCCTTCCAGACAGAGTCTCAACTTCTTGCCATTCTGAACTATTAATTTCTAAGTTGAAAAAAGCCAAACACAGGTTGAACAAGTGGGCTTCTCAGAACACAGTTTATACCTTGCCAGATAAATGTCAAAACCTTTTAGCCAGTTATTTCATGATTTTGGTGTAGAAGACTCTTGTCTGTGAAGAAATCATTTCATTTTAAAAACTAACAGAAGAGGTGACCATTTGCAGTTCATCCTTCATAAGGTTGCAGACAACGGGTGACATGATTCCAAGAATAAGCCTCGTTCTTTCTTATAGGAATGAGATGGGGGTTTGCTTCTGTCCTGAGATGTCTGTTTGTCTTTTGAAATGCATATTGAGCTTGCTTTTTATAGTCTGGGCTGCTGTGCAACCAAAAAGAAAAGAAATCATGTAATAGGAAGATGCCTGGATCCTAGTTCCACTATGCTTAAATCTTCAAATTTGACACAAGATTTTTAAATAATTTACTTTGAAAGGATGGTACAGAAGAATCATGTCATTAAAAATAGAGGTCATGGAGCTTCAAAAAGAGTTTCCTTTTCTCTTCCTCCCCCTTGCATTCATCCTCCCTCTTCCCACCTCCAAAGAAAAAAGAAAACAGTCAACCCGATTCACTTATGCACTTTGAAAACCCTTCCCTCTCCACCACTGGTTACTCAGGGAAGGTAATGTAAGCAAGAAGACCTCTAAGCAGCAATTGATCCCTCACCATTATTCTGCTAAATTTATATCTTCTTTCCTGCTTCATTTCTGTCTCATTTAGAGATCATCTGATGGCAGTGTCTGATTTTGAAGCGTATGTGTTCAGTGTGTATTGTATTTGAAATCCTTTGAAAGAGGATAAATCAGGTTATACGGTTTAAGGGTCTTTACTGTAATTAAGCAGACCTCAGTATATACCGTATGTCCGATTTAGAGTGACCTACTTATACCCTTGTTGCCAACAGAAAAAAATCCTAATCCAATCTAGTAGTCTAGCCGCCTCCTCGGGTGCTGCTTTCTGGCCGAGGAGCATAATGATGCTGTCATTTTTCCCATCATTACCTGATCATGTGTGCTGGGTTGAGTGGGAGGGAACATGGGCGTCGTTGGAGGAAGTTGCTGTTTAATGAGCGGCACAATGGAGGCTGGGTAATTAGAGCAGTTCGGAACCTTGAAAATGGCCTTTTGTCAGGGATTTGCACATTAGTGAGGCATTGCTATGGGGATGTTTACAGCACGACTGTTGTTCTACAGAAGACACTAAGGGCATAAGTCACAAAAGAGAGGTCCAGAAGGAAGACTTCAGGAAAAAGAAAATCCCTATTAAGATAATTAGCTCATAGAGGATGTTTCACTGGGCAGTCATTTCTCATGTGAAGCCACAGCCTCCCCTTTTTGCTACCTTCACCCTAAAAAAATCAGTTCATTTTATTGTAGTTCAGGTCAAGGGTCTACCTATGCAAATTGTTCAGATATAAGGTAAGGTATGGTTTTATACACACACATAGAGGAACATTTTAAACGATGTAAAAATATTTAATAATAGAGAAGATTAAAAGGCTTTCTGGAATATGAATCCGTACATACGGAAATTTAATATAGATTAGGTTGGATTGGCATCATTGAGTATGTACTAGTCAGGAGAATAAGCACAAAGTTACCCCTGCTAAATCCATTTCCCCAATTTAATGAAAGCATGAACATGATTTCTAGATAAATTAGATCAACCCAAGCACATCAAAAACATAATTTTTAAACTCAAATGCATTAAAGAGGTCTTTAGATAATCTTTTAAGAAAAAGTAACTCACCAAGTTTATATTTGCGATGTTGAAGTATCCAGTGTCCCCTTATCATGGCATCAGTTGTGCATTTGTGAGGGTTAAGTCTCCCATTCTCCTCCTCAGGAAACTGTCTGCACGGTTACCACCACCACTTGCACATTCTCAGCCTCAGTGCTTGCTTTTCTTTTATAAAATAATACAAGCTTTATTTTACTGATTGCAAAAATGATCCCTGCTCATTGTAAGTCATTCAAAAGTTACCACAAATATAAAGCGAGTCACCTTAATTCCCACCACCTTAATTCCCACCACCCCGAGATGACCACTATTAACATTTTGGTGACTCAGGATTCTGATAAGAGCAGAAAAACACAACTATACACACACCAAAAATTTTAAAATGTACATATGATTTTGGGGTCTCCATACACTTAGAAAACCTATTCGAGGGCCCCCTTGGGACCATGCTGATTAACAAACTGCTTTTTTCACTTCACAGTTTGCCCTGGACATTTCAGTAAATGTGAGTCCACAATATCAGTTATAATGGCGTCACGGTCTTCTTCTATGTAAAAGTCCCAGTGGACATTTGCATAGTCTCGCCTTATGCTGCTACAAATGGTGTGGCTGTCAACATTTTTGTGCACATACCTTTACCACTTTTGGGATTACAGAATCAAAGAATATGTACATTTACATTTTTTACACACACTGTCTTGCTGCCCTCCAGAATGGCCAATCCTTTGTTCACTCAGTAATCCCCCTCCAATTCCTGGTCATCACCAGATCTTCCAAGCCTCGGTTGCTATTCTTCTTGCATTCATTTTCAATAGGATCCAGCTCAATAGGGTTCTGTGAGCCCCTCCCTGTTGGTGTGGAGATGAGAAACTGTAGAACTAAAAGACACAGACACAGAGATAGAGAAAAGAGAGTTTGGGCTCAGGAGTCCACTGCCAACCAAAGCATGGAGATCTGCAGTGGCACCGAGTGCCTGGACACTCTGACTTCTATTGAGTACAAAGCAAGGGGCAGGGAAGGTAGGGTCAGGTAATGGTGGTTGGCGATAGACACAGATAAATCATGTGTCTTGAAGATAGGGGTCCCAATACTTTCAAGTAGCCAAGGCGAGGTGAAAACCTAATGCATCAGCACTCTTCGCATATTTGTCAGAAATGTCCAGGACATTAATTCTTACCTTCTGAGAAAAAAAACAGGTGCAGAAGCAAAGCATGAGAGTAGACATGGAACGTGACCACTGAAGCCCAGCATCACATAGAGACATTTAAGCCCCCGGATGACTGCGGGCTTCCCTGACAGCCATCAGGCCTTGCCACAAACTCCGTTTGGAGAAACAGAGTTTTCTCCTAACTTCCCCGGGAAGGAGATGTCTCGACCATTTTGGACATCTTCTTCCCTAGCTGGCTAAACAGCGGGCACTTTCACAGCCAAGGCGCCCTCCAGCAGCCCTTATGTAGGCGTGACACAGGGCTTAAAGCATCTTGCCTTAGGATCACTTTGTTCACAATGTCACCTGAGTTCCGTGCTTCATAACCCAAGTCATTAGTAAAATTAAAGGTTATATTGAGTATATATCTTTATGATTATAAGTGAGTAACTATAAAATTGTATATGATTATATAAAGGAATAACTATGTGCCTACGTTTCTAATTCTTTTCTAAATCAGTATTTATATGGAAACAGGCTGAGGCTTCAGATCCTTGCCACAGCACTTGCGGGGTTTTCGCCCCACAATTTTCCTCCTCATTTATTGTGAGGATCTAGTTTTCTGCCTGTTAGGTGTCAGGATTTGTACTGGATACCCACTGTCCTAGTTGCTGCAGACCCTTGATGAGTAGAGTAAGGTCCTATTTTGGTCTGAAACCTGAAAGAATAATTCACTTTCTCCCCATGGACCCTTCTACGGTTGTAGCCATTGATTAAGAACTAAGTTGAGTTTATCAGCAGTTCTGGAAGGAAGAGAAAATAAAGTCCTAATTGGAATAGCAGGCAATTGGTTAGGAGCATGGGCTGTTGTTGTTAGGGTTAAGTGGGAATATATTTGCATATGCTGCACATACATTTCTTAGTGTTGCACAAGGAACAACATGTTGTACTATACAGTACCTCCCAACACTCATAGAAATAACCAGGCCTGAAGAGCACCAGAAAAATTCCCATTTGATTGAACACTGCTGTCCTATTCAAAAGTCTTTTCTTTTCCATCAGACTTTGTATATCTCAATGACAGAAACCAAATTATAATTGTTGGGCATCTTGCCTAGAATAATATACTGCTAATGTAGTAGATGCTTATAAAATACATGCAGATTGATTGAATTGGTTTAAAACTCTTTAAACAATGAAAAATTTAAGTCTGAGTAAATTTTTCAATGAATCAGATTTCTGGGGCTCTTTCAAAACAAGTATATAGGCAGATGTTTTACATTTTAAGGAGAAAAGTCTAGACGTGTAGTCACAACTGATACAAGTTGTATGCTTTAAACACTGGAGGGAGTGGTGTTTCTTTCATTTTTTCTTTTGCGTCCTTGGATGTTCCTTTTTATTTTCTGGGCACACATGTACTTATTTGATAGTGCAACTGAACACTTAGGAATAGAAAGATAATTTGATAGAATGATAATAGAACTTTATACAGCCCCTTCCCACTTCCTGCGTGGAGACCTTTGTTTCCGAGTTGCCATCTGTGTAACATGTGCTGACTTGGGTTTCAGGTGCCATTTCTGCAAGTCATCCCGCCAAGTGTCTTCCCTCCGTATTCCATATGCCTGCAAGCTGCTCTTCCAGGAACTACAGTCTATGAACATTATCCCCAGGTTAAAACTGTCCAAGTACAATGAATGAGGATGGAAAAAATGATTACTAAAAAGAACAAGTGATACATCTAATACGATGGAAAGCAGAAGGGATTGAGGACTACTTCTCCTCCTGTGGATAATTCCTTTGCATATTCTCTCTCTAAAACAAAAAAGAAAATGGAGAGGCTTTTTATATACTACAAGACTGACTGAACAACGTTGGCCACGCAGACTGCCAGGCTGCTTGATTCACAGATGGATGTGACCTAAAGGATGAATAAGCTATTACTTATATGCCAGTATCTTGACATTTACTCATTAGAAGACCTTACTCCTTCAAGAGAATGTTTGGGGTCAGATTTACCATATCATCTGGCCAACAATATTCAAGATTCCCCTGAAACTTGGAGGATGTAAAGAATCCGTTTGATTTGGTCAGCCTGGCTTTCGTTGAGGTGGCTGGTTCTGATACATTTTCCCAACAATTAAATCTTGGTTTTACACACCCAGACTTTGTAATTTTAGTCTTGGTGAAATACAATAAATTTCTTCCTACCTTGTCAAGCAAGAATGTCATCTTGTGGACTCAGTTATTATTTTGAACCTCCGTGATCATACCATGCAATAATATTCATTAAATATCTGAATCTAACTCTGTGGCTGCTTTGTCGCGCTCTGTCCCATTCCATGCCTGCCGGCATGCTAGCTGTCCATTTTCTTTTTAATCTGACAGGCTTCCTTACTCATTTCTAATTTGTTCTCAACTGCTGCCCTAAAGCCAGATGAACATGTGTGTTAAGGATTGTTTGTAAAATCAGAGTCAGAATGGCCTAAGGCTTCATTCCCAGCATGTCACACTGAAGATGTTCCACAGAATATTAATAGGTATTGTATGCCAACAAGAATCAAGCTCCTGTGTCAAGCTAAGGTTGAGAAACTGAGGGTAATCAAGTTAAACATTCCACTGGACTTTTTCAAAGCCTTTAAGCATCCCAAGCCAATATGTACTGGGTTTCAAAAAAGGTGATGTTCCAGGGACCCAGACTAGTCATTGACTTGAGAACTCAACCTCACTTCTTTTTCTTCCCAATAAAAAATCTCTAACATAGGTAGACATAACAGTCATAGAGGTATCACAGTGAAAGCAGAATGAAGGACACTGCAGGTGAGCAGGCCTTCCTCAGCCCTCATGGCAGCGACTCATTAGGTATTGTTTTTTCTTTTGAAACAGGGTCTCACTCTGTCACCCAGGCTGGAGTGCAATGGCAAGATCATGGCTCACAGCAACCTCAACCTCCCGGGCTCAGGCTATCCTCCCACCTCAGCCTCCTGAGTCCTTGGGACTATAGATGTATGCCACTACACCCAGCTAATTTTTGTATTTTTGGTAGAGACAGAGTTTCATGTGTTGCTCAGGCTGGTCTTGGACTCCTGGGCTCAAGTGTTCTGCCCGCCTCAGCTTCCCAAAGTGCAGGGAATATAGTGTGAGCCACTGCGCTTGGCCTCAATATGTATTTCAAAAAGAAGTTTGAATGCCAAGATCTTTGCTATGCCAGTTTCTTTTCTTAACCTAGCTTATAGTTCTCAAAATTGATGGTGCATAAGGATTACTGTACTGGATTGATGATATGATCATACTGTACTTCGTGGGCTGTTTAAGGAGTTTTCTAGGGTGATCCTGTTTATCTCACATCATACAGCAAATCCACTTCCCAAATCTATCAAAGATGCAGTTGCCCTGCAGTATGTGGCACATCATTTTAGGGAACACTCAGAGAGTCAGGCTGGAAGAGTCTGGCAGTGTGCTGAGTGCTGGCACGAGGACTCATCGTTTGTCATTCAGTACCTGCCACATACAAGACACTGGACTAAGGATAAAAGAACAGTACAGGGCCTCTGCCTGACTGAGGTCATAGTCCAGTGGAGGAGGCCAAGATGTGTGGTCTGGTCGCAGAGCACTGCTCTGCAGTCAGTGCTGAGGATTAACCTCGGCAGTGCTGAGGGAATGCCGAGGGCAAAGCAGCCAACAGTGCTCTGAAGATTTGGAAACACTTCCCAAGCATGATTATGCCCTTTATAATGTGAAGAAACAGACGCACTATGTAGCTCCGTGACTCCCCAGAGCCTCACTGCTAGTAAGGGGGACAGCAGGGGCCTCGGGACCAGGCATTCTCACATACACAGCTTTGTTCTGGTTTTATCTGTGATTATATTTTTTAGTCACCAAAAGTGGTCGTTTTTTAAAAGTTCAGATGCCCTTGAATGGTTGTATCTCTTATAAATAAACATCCTTCTTAGGAAACCATTCCAAGCCAGTCTAATAATTTTGGGGGGAGTCACCTTTCTAAGTGTCTAGGAAATTCTAAGTTCTCTAAGTTTACAAGATTTAGAAAGTATGGGTTTTCAAACCGAGACATCCTTAAAGGAAAAAATTCTATCAGATTGATAATCTCAAAAATTAGCAAATAGAACATTTGAATAGCTATTTGACTCTGAGACTCAAATACTTTAACAAAAAGCAGCCAGACACCAGGCATGGTAGCAGGCACCTGTAATATCAGCCACTCAGGAGGCTGAGGCAGGAGGATCACTTGAGCCTAGGAGTTTGAGACCATCGCTAGGAAAAAAAGAAAAAAAGCAGCCAGATTTGGTAAACTAGTCCCTATGAAGTTATTTGTAAGTTAAAAGCAAGTACCTTAAAAATAACTTTTAAAAGTTATTTTTAAAATAATTCTCACCACCCTCACTACAAAGCACTTTTTTTCCTCCAGGCTTTTGCCAGGCTGGAAGTGGCATAGGATGAGGCTCAAAAGCCAAACCAAAGCCACTAAGAGGCTGTGACCCTGACATGAGCTTTGACAGAATCAAAGGGCTGGGGAGACAAGACTGTGGGCACAAAATTGCCCAGATGCCCGGACCAGAGAGGCCAAGATCTCAGATAGGAAGTGCATTGAAGTGAGCTCAGCTTCTTCACCACTTTTCTTCTGGATTTGCCTGCTCAGACCGATAAAATAGGGTATCACTGACAGGGTGGGTTTAAATGATAGAGACATATTTTCTCACATTTCAAGAGGCTCAAAGTCCAAGACAAAAGATGTCCACAGGGTCGGTCTAGTGGGCCTCTTTTCCTGGCTGCTGGTGGCCACCTCGCTGCAGCCTCACGTGGCCTTTCCTTGGTACATAATAAGGGAGAGTGTTATTGAGCTAAGGTATCTCCTCTTCTTAGGATGCCAGTCCTGGTGGATCAGGGTCCCCCTCTTATGACTTCATTCAACCTTAATTACCCCCTTAAATGCCCTGTCTACAAATGAGATTGCACTGGGGGCTAGAGCTGCAATATATGAATTTGAAGACACACAGTTCAGTCCATTATATCTCTCAAGACATTTGCCAATTCATAACAGCACAGATAGAATTTGGCAGTATCTATTAAAGCTGAACGTACCCAGCAGTTCCGTTCCTAGGTGTGAACCAGGGGAAATATATTTATGTGTGTGTTATCAGTCTGTATGTACAAAAATGTTTCTAGCAGCATCATTTATAGTAGCCCCAGGTTGCAAGTAACCCCTGCCTATTAACAGAATAAATTGTGGTATGGTCATGGATATGGTTTGGCTGTGTGCCCCACGCACATCTCATCTCACATTGGAATCCCCACGTGTCAAGGAAGGACCTGTAATCCCCACGTGTTGAGGGAGGGAAATGATTGGATAATGGGGGTGGTTTCTCCTGTGCTGTTCTTGTGATAGTGAATTCTCATGAGGTCTGATGGTTTTATAAATGGTAATTTTTTTGCAGTCTCACACTATTTCTCTTGCCTGCCCCATGTAAGACGTGTCTGCTTCCCCTTCTGCCGTGATTTTAAGTTTCCCGAGGCCTCCCCAGCCATGCAGAACTGAGTCAATTAAACCTCTTTCCTTTGTAATTACTCAGTCTTGAGTAGTATCTTTATAGCAGCGTGAGAAGGAACTAATACAGTGATACAATGGAATAATAAACAGCAATTAAAAATGAACTGTTGCTACATATAATATCATAGGTAATCTCACAGATATAATATAGGGCAAAAAAAAGTTAAGTCCAGGCCAGGCATAGTGGCTCATACCTATAATCCCAGCACTTTGGGAAGGCAAGGCCAGGTGAATCACCTGATATCAGGAGTTCGAGACCAGCCTGACTAACATGGTGAAATCTTGTCTCTACTAAACATACAAAAATTAGCCAGGCGTGGTGATGGGTGTCTGTAATCCCAGCTACTTGAGAGGCTGAAGCAGGAGAATCACTTGAACCTGGGAGGCAGAAGTTGCAGTGAGCTGAGATTGTGCCACTGCACTCCAGGCTGGGTGACAGAGTGACACTCCATCGCAAAAAAAAAAAAAGTTAAGCCCAAAAGAAACATACTATATTAGTTCCTTTAAAGCTAAAAAATAGGCAAAATTAATATATAATATGAAAAGTCTTAAGAGTTTCCTATGCAGAGTGTGTGACTAATGGCTAAGAGGTGCAAGAGGGGGGCTTCTAGGATACTGGAAATATTTTGTTGACCTGAGTGTTGATTATATAGATGGGTTCATTTTATGAAAATGCATTAAGCTATACTGATTCAGGGCTTTTCATCTTTCTGCATGTACATCACTCTTTAATACGTTTTTTAAAAAATCTAGGTGACTTAAGAGTTTAAGAATACAAGCTCTAAACCTGTGTTTCAGTCTCTTCACATAATAGATGTGTCACCCCAAATATATTGTGTTTGTCCTTTTAGTTTTCCCATCTTCAAAATAGGGAATATCATAGTACCCACACCTGGGGCTGTTTTTAAGATTAAATGAGATAATGTTCCTAAAGGGCTTCCCATAGTGCCTGGCACAAAACAGGTGTTCACAAATGTTTGTTATTGTCTTCATTGATGATCACCTAGTAATAATCACATCATACACCTTATTAATAGCACTGCCAGGACTGGCAGTGTTCAATTATACAACTTCATCTGGCAAGAGTTAGGAAAGGCAAACACTGAGTTTCCTCTGGAAGAGAGAGTTTGGAAACTGGAACCAAGTGCAGAAACTCTAGGATTTTGCAAAAGCGATTTGCGAAAGCTTCCCTGTTTAACAGTGATGGGCGGAAGGAAGGTGGTGGAGTTAGTGAGCACACTTCCCTGGAACAACCATTTAGCACTGACATCAAAGTGAGGCCTGTTGTCACGCGGGAGTCCCAGAATAGTTTCATGAAGCCCACAGAATGTTTTCAAAATGCTTCCATGTGGTGAGAGTCAAATAAAGGATTAAAAAAAAAAAAAAAAAAACACAGAAGTCCTTGATTGGGTGCTACATAATGGGATAGTTTTCAGCTGCTTCAGAGCATTTTGGCCAACACCTTTATTTGCAGTAATGAGCCACATGAGGGTGAGCACATTAGGGCTGGTGGCTGGGCCCATCCGTTCTCCGCCATCTGAGTAATAGAGGAGCCAGTGTCAGAGAGACCTGTAAATAATTCCGTTTTGAAACGGATGGTCAGAAAAGTGACTGTAAAAGTAGCACCTCTTTACCATCCATATTTACTCCATATGTGTCTTGAAAACAGTTTATTTCATTTGTTGACCAAAAGTTGGATTTTTACTGTTTTAGCCCACAGGGCCAAGATTGGTGGGAAATT